ATTGGATAATTGACATATTTAGAAGAAGCAATCCTACAAATACGCAAACAATTATCCATACATACAATATATATATAAGGAGAGAACAGGGTTGGTGTAAATTTTTTCTGTTACTTTTTGTAAATCCTATTAATAAAGGACAAAATGGTATTACCATTTCCCAAAAATAAACACACACACACACACACACACACACATATATATATATATATATATATCTCCCATTTTTTAAGTCTAAAAAAACTTCTAATTTTGTAATAATGGCCAATAACATTTTATCAAAAAAAGAAATAAAAAAACAAATTATTTTCATTCATATATCTAAATAAATCCTCAATAACTACCAAAAACTTTATTAACTTTCTCTCTATAAATGGACTTATTTTAAATGTGTACACACATAGAATGTGCCCTTGTCACTAGTTCAGCATAATACTTTGCATGAGGATATGCATGTTTTCAGTTGAAATGTCATAAATGAATGGCTATTGAATAGGGATATTAATTAGTTATTTGCTATTTAAGATACACAAATTGCTACTATTGTATCTACTATTCTATTTATTTCTTTGGCATTGTTTGATAACTCATTTCAACACTTAAACTTAATATATTATCTTAACATATTCAAACATGTTTCATAACAAAAAAAAAAAGAACATTTTAATTAATTAAGTGGTTCTGAATTGTGTAGACAAAACTTGTGACGCCCCCACTTCTCCCTAGGGCGAACCCTAAGATATCCGCAGAACGCCTGTCCAACTCTCGCCGGGATTCACTACAATCTATAATTCAAAACTAGAAATACTTCAAATAATTTCAATATATATATATTTCAAGTACTCCAAAACACTTCATACTTACAATTAGTTAGCTTTCAAATTTAATACAACTCAAAAGAGTATATACTACAAGTCTACAACCATCTGTTATAATACAACTTAAAGTTTCCAAAAGGAAACAACTTAATACTATTCACAGGCACTTTCGATCTTGAATCCTGTTAAGGAAAACAAAAACATGGAATGAGCTACACAGCCCAATGAGATTCCAAGACACTCTAGCAGTTCTAATAAATCAAGTACTTTGAGCATAACACATGTATGGTTCAAGATTGCACGTTGGCACATTAATATGAAACAATTATCATTATACAGAAATAAACACATATTGAAGGATACGGTGTTCCAATGGAACCATTTCGATCAACTTCACCTTATAACTTCAGATCCCCTCGATTTGTCTAACCATCACCTTATCCCTCCAGTGGTAATACTCGAGTATATCGAAATGGTGGCCCAGGGTTCCAACCTACCCGACTGAGCCTAGTCCTGGCTCTAGCAAATTAGTAACCAAGGGCAAGACCCAATTCAGTTTAGAGTTTACAACATGCACAAGTAAGCAAGTAAATCGGTAAACGGTAAATAATCACGGTTAACGTTAAAAATTTATAATTTTTGTAGGTCGAGTGAGATAAAATACACACTCACCTTAAAACGATGAGCAATTTCATATGAACAATTATCAGTAACACTTAACACTTAAACACGTAAGCAATATGCGATAGTTTCATATGCACATGTAATTTACGGTAATCAAGTAGTCAAGTAATCAAGTAAACAGGTACTCAAGTAAATCGATTAACGGTAAGTAATTACGGTAAACGGTAGTAGTTCACGGTTAATCAGTAGACATTTATCATTTTAGTAGGTCGAGTGAGATAAAATACACATTCGCCTTAAAACAGTGAAAAAGTTCATAGGAGCAATTATCGGTAATACTTAACCGTTAAAACACATAATGACCATGGAGTGAACATGTCGTAAAACTATTCAAGTCACGTACTCCTATATGGAACACTCAATTCAGAATAAATGAGTAAAGAAAGTCGTCAATGATCCACTTGGGGATTCTCTTCGAGACCTTCTTGATCGTCTGAAGAAAAGTGACCAATAACCACCCTCGCAATTTCACAAATTCCTTATCAAACAAGAAAGAATGCACACTTGCTTTAGAATTCAAGTCAATGTCTTTATAAGAGCTTTATTTTATCAAAAGTTAATATTCAAAAGTGTGGATTTTAAAATTACTGAGGAAACTCATATCCTCCACGAAATCGGGTTCAAAACGATAGATTAATATCAAAATAAGAAGTCAAGCTTCCAAAATTTCATTTTTTAAGAATTTGGCAAATTTCAGCTTTGTGCGTCAAATTTAGAAAAATCATATCTTACACTCAGTAGGTCCAAAAATGAAAAATTTGATACCGTTGAAAACCAAATCCAAGATACTAAAAGTTTCTAGAAAACATTTTTCCAAGTTTCTAAATAGAAAGCATTTATTTTCCAGCTTAAAGTTTCAGTTTTGAACAAGCAAGGCAGAATCAGTCTTGTTTTTTGACAATCTTTGAAAATTCGGCATAATTTATAAAAAGTGAACTAGCCTTTGAAATTTGTAACACAATAAGAGTTCCAATCAAGGTTTCAAACACAATAAACAGAACTAGAATCGGCGTTTTGAACGCCAAGATATAATAGCTCAAAGTTGGTTAAAAATAAGGACCATTAGGTCCATTTTCCAGATTTGGAAGGCTATCTTTGAAGTATCATTTGGCTATCGATTTGGCATTGGAAATACACCAAACCTGGTGCACTAAATCTTCTATGGGTGGACAACATTTCTACTAAGTTCCACGTAAAAACTCCCATGGAAAGGCAGTCATTAAAACAACTAAAGTTCAAGAAATATCCCAAGGCTAATCTGCCTTCTTGCTTCCTTTTTCTTTTCAAACATTTTGCCCAATGAAATCAACTCAAATCTAGCTCATTTATGAAAAAAAAAAGTCCGAGAAACATCGAATATATATTTGATAGGTGATTGACATCAAAATCTCAAAATAAAACCTCTCATAAGTAACCAAACCAATCAGCCAGCATGAAAAGAGGGTTTTCCAGATTTGCTGCAGTTTAGGACTTGGACCATAACTCACTCAATACAGATTGGAATTGGGAATGGTTGGTGGAGTTGAAAACTAGATTCAAAATTATACAATTCATCAAAATAACTCATTTTGAAATTCAGTTGGCAAGTGAGAGAAAATAGAGCCACAATTTGCAGCTTGTAGCTTTCCCTCGGTTAGACAGTGAAACAAGACAGCAAACTTTGCTCAATCACTACAGATGACTCGATTTGAATTAGAAGGTCCATGATACATCATTAGAAAACTACAGATGTCTAGTTTTAAATTCCATAGACAGCACTTGATTTCAATGTTTGAGCAGAGAGTTATGTTCATTCAAAAATTACTGCCATAGGACCACTGCTCTGCGATTTTTCAGTTTTGTTTTTGCCAAAACTCACATTTTGCTCAACCAAATCAAGTGATTTTCGGTGCAAACTTTCCATACATCCTATACAACATATCTATATCAGTTTCAAGGTCATTTGAGTATCAAAATTTTGAGCCTCAAAATTTTGAGCCAAAGCTTCGAGAAAAACAGGGCAGATTCGGTCAGATTTTTTCCATGCAATTCTTTCGATTTTCCTTTCACTTTTCCAACTAATCTCATCTTGTTTATCATAAAATTAACACAAACAACACTTATCATCATTATATCAGTCCTATATCATCAAGGTGGGATTTCATAGAGCCCACTCCAACCATTTAAATCCAAATAACAATATCAATAATGAAGTTACGAGCTTCATAGCCAAGATCGAATCCATTTAAAGCTAAGAATGAAAGATTGGATAGTTATACCTCTTAGATGATGAAAAATCAGAAATTTTGGGTCACCAAAAGCTCCAAGAAACTCGGCTAGAAGACCTCCTCCTCCAAGTCAAGATGAATCTCCAAGTAGTTAGAAGTTGGATGGTGTTTTTGAGTGCAAGATTGGAGCAAAATTGGTGCAAGAATGGAAGTGAAATTGGAAAGGTTTCTCTTCTTCTTCCTCCTTGGAGTTTCAGCCAGCCTTGAGTGAAAAGAGAGAGAGAGAGAGTGAAATCTGATATCTAAAGCTTCTTAAAGAAGCTTGGAAACTTGGGGCCAAAGTTTGGGAAAAGTAAACTACCACTAGTGTCGCGCGCACGCGTTTCCGGTCCGATTTCTCTCGGATTTGTTTCACTTGTGTACTAAATCTCAAATGTACTTCCTTTAACATTATAATTATTCACTGTTAGTAGTCTAGTATAAATTTCTGAAGTCTCCGTTTAACCATTCCAACTCGATATACGCGAAATTCCAATTCGCGCACAATAAGGTGAAGTTTACGGGAAATTCATATAACGATTATATAATTAACTACTACTAATATAATTAATTATAAAATAACCATTTTAGAAATAAAACATGAGTCCTCAAATCTCCAAGATTATTATACTCTCGGATCGATTATTGTCTCGAAAAATGTGTACTCGTTATTTTTCACTAAACGAGCCCTAGCAAATTAAATTTACTAACGAGACATTTTAAAAATATAATTGAGACTTTATTCCATATAAATGGATTTAAAATGGTTGAAATAAATTATTCGGAAAAAACGGGTGAATAAATAATTAATTAAGCCATTAAAATAAGATTAAAAATAAGTAAAAAAAAATTCGGCTCCTCATAAAACTTACTCTAAAATATAAGTTATAAATTGTTCATTTATTACTTAATGCAGAATATGTTTAAATGTTAGGATTTCAGTATTCAACAATTCAACAATTTAATGAATTCAAATTTCAAGGCTTTAGATTTCAAACTTCAAATTTTATTTTTATCAAATAAACTTCGATTATTGATTTTTTTTAATGTGTTCATAAAGACGGGGTCTCTAAAAAAGAAAGTGTGGCACCTAACATGGCATGGCTGATCCAACAATTTCTTATTTGGGGTCCTCATCAGATGAATCTAATTGGGAAAAGAGTCCCAATGGCCCTCCAACTCTTTCTGTGACACTTCTGTCAAATTCAGAGGTTAAAATTGACGGGAAGCATCATCTCGTGCCACGGGCAACCAAATATCAAGGGCATTATGGTCTCTTTCTCACGGAACTTTGACCTGAGCTGGAGATGACAGTTTTTAAAGTGGTAGTATTCTTAGTCCCATGGTCAAAACTTGGGAAAGATCCATCATCAATGTCAACCCCGTCGGAGAGTACGAAAACATTGATGGGATCGTAAAAGAACTTGATTTTCTTATTGGGGTTGCGGGCAATGAGCGTGAAGTTGAATTTGGAGTTGACCCCGGTGGAGGTGAGGTTGAAGTGGGACAGTTGAAGGGGGGAGATGCTAAAGTTGAAGCGATGGGCACGGTAGATAACCCAGAAGACGGCCCTGGCTACGGCGACGAGGACAAGGATGAAGATGATGAAGAGGGTTGTCCAGAGGCAGCAGGAACAGCAGCAGCTGCAGTTGTGGTGACGCTTGCTGAGTGATTGGGGACGGTAGATAGGGCACGTGGTGTTATTATAGAGCTTGCCTTTGGTGGGTGGAAATGTTGAGTTTGCAACTGCAGCGGTGGTAGTGATGCCGTTGGCAGCAGGATTGGCTGCCGGGTATACTCTATCTGCCATCGTTTTGGTTTAACACTATGTTGTTCCGGTCCCTCCCTCCCTCTCTCTCTCTCTCTCTCTCTCTCTCTCTCTCTCTCTCTCTCTCTCTCTCTCTCTCTCTCTCTCTCTCTCTCTCTCTCTCTCTCTCTCTCTCTTTCTATTGGCTGTTGAACTGTATTTGCAATAGGATTGCAGCTGGTGCATTCTTTAACCTTGCTTCAGTTGAAGAATACCGGCAACTAAATGGGGAGATTCCAGATGCAATTCCTTCTCTAGTGGAGCTCCTCAGGGATGGGACAGATCGTAGCAAAAAGAATGCACTTCTCACGATATTCGGCCTCCTCCTATGTCTTGAGGACCACAGGAGAGTGTTTGCTGCTGGATTAGTCCCATTGCTGAAGCAAGAGCAACGGCAGCAGTGGTGGTGACACAGGTGGTGGGGTGGTGGAGGGGTCACTGGGGTGGAGGTGCTTGGTAAATCATTCAGAGACTATAATACCTTTGATATTTGGTCGCGCATTTCACGAGATGATGCTTTCTGTTAATTTTAATCGCTGGATTTGACAGAAGGGTCTCGAATATACTATTTTATTAGATCGAGAGCCAAATCTTTATTGTTAATTATTGGAGGGCTAAAACTTTACCTGTGAATGAGTTGGAGGGCCATTGGGAATCCTTTCCCAATCTAATTCTTTATCTGAGTGATAAAAATTTGTTTGAAGAGTTTTTCCTAACTTTTGAAACTTTGATTTAGTTTCCTTTCAATTTTAGTTACGAAAATAACCCACATGTGTTCGTTCTCTTGAAAAACCTTTTCTTTTTAAAAGCTCCAAGTCAAAGTAAACTAATTCTTTCATACGGCACTTTTTTTTTGGGGGTTAGAGAAAGAAACCAAAAAAAAAAAATCAATTTGAAGAAAAAGAAGACATTGTTTGGATAATGAACTTATCCCAAATAATATTTCGTTTGCATTATAAACATATTTTTCAACCCATCTTTTTATATTCTCAATCACCTTTTTATCTCACATACATCACATTACAAAAAGTGTTACAGTAATTATTCCAAATAATATTTTAAATAATACCCTATCCAAACAAATTGGTGGAGCTCTAATTAAAGGTCTCTATCGGAAAGGAAGACCTAAAATAGTCCACTCAGTCCCAACTACAGCCATAGGTTCATTATCATCATCCAAAGTACGCAGTAGTAGTAGTATAGTATAACTGGGGAAGGCTATTAAGGTGTAGGGACAAAGGAAAAAAATCTCCTGACGAGAAAGGGAAGGATGGACAAATATCAGTCATGAGTAGTATGAACATTTTTTTTTTTAAATTATACTACATTTATACCAATTTTGCTATTAAATTTATCAAAATTTTGTACATTAACTTTTTATGCACTCACACTGTAATGGTAGTATTTTTTTTTTTTTTACACTAACAACTTTAAATATATGCTACACATGTACATAATTTGAATTTCAAATCTAAATTCGTATTATGTAACATGATATAAACCTACTAATATATAAAAAATAATAATTCTACACTGACAGTGTCTAAAAAAGTTTTCCAAATTTTATTACCTTATTACATTTGTATGTGCATCTACAAAGTTAGGCTACATGTTGCTGTCATTTTATAAATAACTAAGAAGATAAGTCATCGTCCTTATTGAAATTTTAATTTTTTTTTTCAAAAATTGATGTATAATTTGTGAAGAAGACGTCAAAAAATTATTACGTGTTTCATAAAATTAATTAAAAAAAATATGAGTAATTTTCAAAATATTCACTACATTGATTCATTTACTTGGTTTGGCATATGCCCTCTTTATAGGTTCCAGAGATTCACAATGGAGTTTGGTACTGCTTTCAGGGGTCAGTCAGCAACATGCCGAGACACAACTATGGCACAAGATTTTGAGTTTGGTAGCCAAAAACCAGTCCATGAGATTTGCATTACATAAGTCAGTAATCTGTGAGATACTGAGACAGCATCAAAATAAACCAAAAACTGTGTCCACAAGATGCTTATTAGAGAAAACTAAATTCCAGAACAGGATAGTCTAGTTCCAGGTTGCATTACATCGAAGAGTTTCGAACAGAATTTCACGGATTAATAATGACACAATCTCATCAGCCTCAGCAACCTGTTAGAACACTGAACAAACACCATTAGATACATTGAAGTGAAAAAGATAAATAAAGAAAAAGAGAAGAAAAAGTCACCACAATAAATAGTAGAAGAACTAGAAACTGGTTTTCCTATTAATTTTTTTGTTCCCAAAAAAAAAAAAGACATGCAAACAACAATAACCGACTAAGAAGACCACAAATTTCCTTACTAATATTCTCCTTTCAAGGTTAAACATGGATCAACATTCATGTGGAAGATCTGTGCTTAGAAATGGTGAATACAAGACAAACACGACATATAATCTACTTCCCAGTGCTGCTCTGGACATAGTAGTATCATCACAACTCTACATAATCTTCTTCCCGTTTTGAATAAAATAGGGTTCTCAACGATTATCTCTAACGCAAATTAGACCAGTAAATTCCATTTTCCTCTTCCCGGTCCAAGAACTTCCACAAGAAAAAGGCTTCAAACCTCCAAAAATGTCTATGGTGAACAAATTCCTGCTAGATGACAATTAAAGACAAAATTTGCCATCCTAAACACAGGAATTGTTCAACACAAACACGTGCAATTTGCCGTAACACAGTGGAAAGGTGACTTTCAGGCAGCTAATTTGTTAGTGTCACCAGATTGACAAGCACAGTGCAGCTTATACCCATTATGGCATTACCAATGACTTTCGCCCTGACAAAATTACACATAGCCAATTACTAAATTCTTCGAAAATCTTTTGCATTGCTCAGGCTTCCAAGAAATATAGATAATGAGATATAGCCAGAAATTTCAATCACGTATTAAAGCTCACTTCTTTCTTCCTTTCTACATGGCTCATGAGAATCAAATCCCTACGCCATCGAACTGATCACGAAAAAGTTAATGTATCTTAGGCACCAAATATTCCCCTAATCTCAACACACATTTATTTATTTCTACAACCAAGCCCACAAAAACTTTGGTTTTAAGAGGACAGAAAGCAAACTCCTACAAAAACAGTTTCAAGATTATAATTGTGTTTGAAGTTATTGATGACAAGAATGATGAATCCAGCTACAGCTTTGCTGAATAACGTCATCAGAAAAACCTTTTCAAACAGGCTTGAGTATCATTCTTCAACACATGTATGAATGCCAAACCAGTAACTTGCCAACTTGCACTCACAGCAGTTTTGTTACCAGCGATTAGCCAGTAGGATTTCAGACTTCAATACAGGATAAGAGCTACTAAAACACAATGCAATGAAAGTTGCTAATAAGCAACTGTTAAGAATTGAACTTTCTTCCAACCTCGAAAGGAAAAGACATCAGAAACTATAATAGTTAACAACTGTTATTTGCCTACATCTCTTTCTGCCCCCAACTCAAGCATACTTCCCATTCAACTGATGTTCAAACTCAATAAAAAACCAGATCCCAAGGACTACAGCTTATTTTTAAATATGAGTATTATCCTCAGCTATCTTTTTTCAGGGAAAGCTGTTTAGCCAGATTCTTTCCCGGCTGGGGATACAATGTTCCTCTACATGCCCCTTGGAAGAGAACTTTTGGTTACAAGCCTCAATAGGCTACAACTGTTTTCCAGCTTAGCTCCACTAAATGGATAATTTCCTTTTTTTTTTTTTCCAAGTCCTTTTACCCAGCATCAACTCAAAAACGAGGCTCATTGAAGCAATGAAAGCTGTAACTGGCCAAATCCTGCTGGTATTGACCAGAACCAATTACTAAAGCACCCCAAATTCCATGGTTTTTTGTTCATGTGAGCAGTTGCACTTTATAACCAGCTTGTCACATATCACAGTCTACTCACTCATAAAAAGCAGCCACAGAACACAACTGCTCCTAATTAAAAAAAACAAAAAGAAGACATCCATTTAGCTTGATGATTTGATAGGGTTTTGATTGATGCTTTGACATAATTTCGTGAACTAATAGCACAAATGAAATACCCTAGACAGAAACCTCATGTATGGCAGGAGAAATAAGTGGCTAAATGTGAAAATCATTTATTATCTAGTAAAAAGGCACTACATTTGCAATCTTTTCCATTACAACAGAACAATTAGATTCAATACTTCTGACGTACAAAATTATCAAAATTTAGTCAGTGGAAAATAAAACTAATCATGCCGTTACAGTTAGCGCATCTAGAAACAACTTTGGGAGTAAGATGTGGTATCAATGAACATTCAAAGGTAGCAAAAAGCTAATCACAGATTCACACAAAGCAAAGGAACTAAAAAGTTCTCTCACTGAGATGTATGAGCTGCAACAGAGCAAAGACATCCTGTGGCAAGTTTGTATACATTGTCTTTAAAGTGGTACATATCCCTTGCCCTCCAACCGACTGATGATTGCAAAACTATGGCATCCCTAAATATTGAAATTAACCTTATGCCTATTATTTTGTGGTTTAGGAACTATTTAACTTCGTCCATTGAATAGAACAGGAATGCTCTCAGTTTCAGAAAAGGTTTACCTTGATTCAAACCTTCACAGTAGCCCTGCATAAGTAAATTCTAAGACCAATAGAACTACATATGATCATCTCCTATAAACTAAATCATCTTGAATAAAAAATCTAAAAAGTGAAAACCGTGAAATATGTGATCTAACCACCACATGTTGCACTTTAACTGATAATCAACAAACTTCTTGGCTGTCTCTTGACTGGGTCCCCCATTTGCAGAATCCTTCATTTCAACCAAAAAGAGGACCTTGAGCGTCCAACTTATTTTGGATGGCCAAAAACATGGGGAGGCAGGCACCAGTGCCTTTTGGTCCATCCTCCTCCCCAACTCTACCACAAGACCCAACCTGAATCTGAAAAACAGCCAGTACCCCAGGACAGAACTCTGATGCAGAATTCTATACCTCAAATTATCAAATAAAACCTACAACCTTAAACAGGACCTAAAGCTTCCTTGATGTAAGTGAGAAAAATCCACAAGTGCAAGAGATAATATTTCA